GGTTCAAGTAGGAGTGCAGTTTGTGTATTCCTCCACGAAACATATTTTAAGAAAAATACTACTGCTTCATGTAATTCCTCCCTATTGCTAAGAAAACCTCCACTCTAGGGCACAGGAGCTACTGCCAGCCTGAGCCACAGCAGTTTGAAAACAGAACTTGGTCGATTGTTTAGGAAACCATGTAGTGGGGAGCCTGAAAATCCCCATGTAAATGTGTTATGAAGTTTTTACCACAAGAGAAACTTTCTGTTTCTAGTGTGGTTAAAAAGTTTAATCCAATTGGCTGCTGGATTAATGTAATTCCAGTTTTGTGTCTTTTTCAGTTTTGAATTCTGAATGGTTTAGTTTGTTTAAGGTTTATTGTTTGACAGTTTCACTGATAAGGTCTTTCTGACTTTACATTGAGGGTGATTTATTGGACTAAATAAATGTGTGTTACCTGCTTGTTATGAATTTCTATAGCCTAGATTTAGTGTGGGATCTGGTCTAAGGGCACAAGCAGGCTGGGGATGGAGCACTCCAGTGCTGGGCTGTGGCAGAAACAGGCACAGCCAGGCTGTTCAGCAGGGAGGAAGGGCTTCCACACAGGAATACCCTGTGGAGCAAGGATTCGAGAAGCAAACCAGGTCTTCTGTTTCTTAGTCCTATACAACTGGAACATGGCTACTCCTGGGAGCCCTCTATGCAATATCCCAGTGGAAATGCCTTATTTTCCTTTAAGTGAAACAGAGAATGTGTTTCAGCATTAGTTGAAATGCTTTACACATTTGGAAAACACTGTAAATCCAGGTCTGATGTTGACTACAGAACGACTTATCTTGGATTCTTAAGCTTACCTTGCAAAGCAGAGTTTTAGATGGATTTTGTATTTGGCTCTGCCTGGGTTTTTTGTTTGTGTTTTTCCCCCCAACCCCTCCCTGAATGGGTTGTCTGTTTTTTTGGGACCTATCTAAAATCATTCAAGAACAAGCTGCCTGCTGCACAGAGTGTAGAGCTCTCTGATGGAGACCAAGGGATAAAGTTCAGCATATTACCTCATCTCTGCTGGTTTGTTTTTAAAGACACGCTGTCATTTCAGCTGGGATGTGAACATGTTAAGAACAGGTCTGTACAGAAGCTGAGGCCAGTGGAAATGTTACCGTTTTTAGTAACTTGGAGAAGGGTAAAGCAAATAAACATGCAAGGGCTCATCCTGCTCTATAGACAAGTCCATGTGAGCTGCCCTGAAGGACAGATGAGGAAGGAACAAGTACCCTCTCCTGGTGTCTGCCAGCACCTATCCCTTACCGCCACTTGGGCTCCTTCCAGGCATGAGATCCAGCACAGATTCATTTGTTGACAACTGTTATTTTTTTTTGACTCTTCTGGTGTGCTGGAAACAGTCTCTGCTTTGGAAATCATTACAGCTGTGTAACTTGCAAACTATGAGTAATGGCTTCCTCCGGTTTAACTCCCCCTTCTCTTAGTGTTTGCACTGTGCTCGTCTTTCCCTGTCTGCCTGGTCCTGCCCGGAGGTGAGGTACTGGATCTCGGTGCAGCAGCTTCCCTTGTGCCTTGGAGAGGAATTGCAGGTAAACGTCATTCTCCCTGAACCGGACACTTGGCAGGGATAAGCCTGGGAAATGAATTAAACACTCCAGTAAATACCAAAATGACGAAGGGAATATTGGCTTAATGGCTACAAGATAAATTTCCCTTCTCCTCACCAGCACCTCTCTCATCTGGGAAGAGGTGAGGAGCTATGTTCTTTTCTCCTAGGAAAAACTTACCTTTCTCACTCTTTTACCTCAAAAAAGTACAGCTCACTCTTCTCTCCAGGGTCATTGAGTTGATGCAGATCTGAGCAATTTTTGTCTTCTTGTGTACAGCTCTCCAGTCTCCTGCTTGTGTTTCAGGCCTTTGTGTTCCAGAAGTTTATCTTTTTTTTTTTTTTTTTCCCCAGTTATAGCTCTTGGTATTTCAAAAGATACTGCTGTGATCTACAAACTTTGCCACTGTCCTTGGGTCGTGCTGCCTGCAATACTCTCTTCTTCCTTGCAGGCCAGGCAGTGCTATTTCAGTAGAGTTTAGGAGCAGAGTAGCATCATGGACATGTGCATCCTCTGGCAATTTAGCCTTGGAGGGACTGGTGTGTCTGATTTGAATTCCTGCAGTGCTGGAGGATGAAGTTTTGGAACATTCTTCCTGGGGCTGTCCTGTCAACGATTTGACAATTTTACTTCTCTTTTATTCAGGAGGGTCTAGTTAATGGGTTTGCCTTTGAAAATGGGTAGAGTTCAAGAGAAAAATCAATTCCTTTCAGTTGGCTGGAGAAGTAACTAAAGCCAGCACTATTTTTTTTCTTTAATATATAAATATTAAGAACTTTAAGTTTATTTAAAGATCCTGCATTTTGGATTCTGTGTGAAACTCAAACTGTTATGACTCAATCTCTGCTTGAGGATCCACGAGGCAGAAGGCAGAAGAAGCTGAATATTGACTTTAACTGTGTTTAAAAAAGGATGGAAGAGTTTCTCTGCAGATGGATACACAGTGTGTATATACATGCATCCAGCCATAAGAGCCACACTGTGTGTAGGGAGCACATATACAAGTGTGTGTATATGTGTGTATATACACACACTCACACATACCTCTCTTTAGTCTCTGGATAGATGGAGAAGTCACCTGGTTCCAGTATTTTCCTTGATTATAGTTGTGGGTGCTGTGTCCAGGAGCCTCAGGCTTGTTTCTATGGCAGCTATTCCCAGTTCAGTGAGTTCCTCAATCCCCTTTTGGCAATAAGGGGAAGAGTGTTGTGACACTCACATTGACATGGAGGGCTGAGAGTGTGGGCAGAGGTGTCTGCAGGTGACAGGCTCACGTGGGAGGGACTCAGGTGCAGCACGGCCTCCTGTGGCACTGGTCTGGATTTCCATCAAGGGCTTCATGGCCCAGATCTCTCTTTCTCTTCTACCTCTCCTTTATATTTTTTTTTGGTTCTTTTCCTTCCCTCTTGCTCTGCCCTGAAGCAGAACTGCAGTATCAGAACAGCAGACTGCAGTACCACGAGCAGGAGCGCCAGGGAACCTGTGCAGCACTAGACAGGCTGACTAATTCCCTTTAAATAATCTCCCTTTAAATAGTCTGGAAGCACGCTGGTGAGTTCTGTTTCAGGAGCCATGAGCACACAGCCACGGCTGTGGGCTGTATAAATAGCCACAGCCATGCTGGGAAGTAGTGAACAGCACAGCTATTTGTTCTAGGAAGGTCTTCCTGCTTCCTTCATGTTACTGCCTGGATAGCTGGGATCTAGTTCTGGAAACATTTAGTACAGCAGCGGTGAGGTGACAGTTGGTGACAGTGAGGAGGGAGCAGCTGCTCCTGGGAGATGGACTTCCCTCTGCAGTGGCTTTGGATCTCAGTGGCAGTGGGGCTGTGGGGCTGGAGTCTGTACAGGTCGCTTTAGCTCAAACAGTGCAGTTCAGACCCTTCTGAGCAACGCTGTGAGTTCACAGATCTCACTGGTATTTATAGCAGCTGCAAGGAGAAAGCAAGACTCCCTGTCTGGCTATGGATCTGGAGAGAGTGTAATGTGATGGTGCTGTCTGAGGAGGATGAACTCAGCCTATCTGTGCTGTCCTAACTCAGGAATCAGCGCTGCAAAACAAAACAATTTAAACAAACTGTGGACCTAGTCAAGGTTAGTTACACTGGCTAATACAAGCTTTCCTCTTAAACATGGAAGAGTGCAAACTATTCTCCAGGTAGGTACATGCACTCTGCAGCTGCCTCCACAGCTGGTCCTGAATTATCAAGGGAGCCTTCAAAAACACGAGGATCTGATCCATGTCCAATAGCTACTATAGCACTTTCCAAGACTTGGATAAATAGGAGAATCCTCAATGAAGAGTGCAGCAAGTCTTGCCTCAGCTGAGGTAGGAGGCATTTGAATTTCTTACTCATAGTGTATTGTCATCTTCTCCCTGCCATCCTACCCACTCGATGCGTCAGAGATCTAAGGCTTGATTTTTTTTAATATTTATTTTTCTTTTTTTTTCTTCTCCCCTTCCCTGCTGAGCAAGGGATATCCAAGCCTTCAGTTTCTGGTGTATCATGTCAGAGACATGTATTTTCCTTCTCTCTTTTTCTTTTTTTTTTTCTTATTTTTGCCCCCATCCGCTCAGAGATAATTCCCTCAAGCCCACTGGGTTTTTGCCAGGGTAGATTGGCTCACAGGAGGAGCTCAGTGCAAGAGGACAGTGGGCCGAGTGGGTCTTGGGAGAGGAACAGAAACTTTGTGGGGTATAGCACAGAGGCAGCTTCCTTAAATTCTCCCTCATGTTTGCTTTCCTTCATAACATTGCTTTTAAGTCACTGTAAAGAGGACAAGGTTTTCACCTGGTCAGAAGTGCCACCCAAAGCTTTGGGACACCATTCAGACTGTTCTTTAATCTTACGGAAGGAGGGAAGTTCTCTTCCTTTCTTTATTCGTGCTCAGTGCTTGTCATCCCCAAGCTGGGGCACAGCTGAGGTCAGGGATTGCCTCACTGTGTCATTTATATGAAATTTTAAACTCATATTTAGCAAAGCAGAAGTTCTGTGCCAGGTTTTGGATACACTATCACCAGAGACGTTAATGGTCTTCTGAGGGCAAGTACTACAATGTCTTATTATCAACAGTCTTCTGAATTACAGAGTAAACCCACAAAAGTCCCGGCCTGTGAATTTAATTAAAAAGACAAAACAAAGCACAGCTTTTTTATTAACTGTATTTAGTGCACTTGCCTTGCAACACTCCAGCCATATCAACCAGGCTGCTCCTGGGGTAAGTCTGGCCTCAGTTCCAGCTACTCTGCTACATACAGGTTCTCTTTGGAAAAGCAGAAGAAAAAGACAGAGCTGAAAGTAGCAGAAATTGTTTCAATGCAGGACGGGCCCCACTGAGCAAGGAGAGCAAAAACCAGCGCCCCATCCCATTTTGCTGGGACAGAATGCAATGTGCTTTGTCTTCCCTCCAGCACAATGGCTTCGTTCCCTGTCTTGGAGCAAGAGACGTTGTTCCGGAACGGTACCTGGAGCTATCGCATTCCAGCCCTGCTCTACCTGCCCCGGTTCAGCATGATCCTGGCGTTTGCTGAGGAGCGGGAGGATGTGGTGGATGAACACGCCAAGCTCATAGCGATGCGCAGGGGCGTGTACGACCCCAGCACGCACCACGTCCAGGTACCAGCGTGGGGAGGGAGCGGGGACACTGCCCACCTGTGCTGCTCACATGGCTCCACAGCACTTCAGGGGATTTGCCCTCTTGCTGGAGGGACAGGGCAGCTTCTCCTCCCCAGTTACAGGAGACAAATCTGCCACTAAATAATGCACGTGTTGCTAAAACTGCTGGGATTCAATCCTGTGACCGGGCAGCTGGTGGGGGGACTAACAGGGGGCAGGTACAGCAGATACTCCAGGAGAGGCTTTGGACCCATCACTGGGATGGGGATGCAGACAGAGAGAGGAAACAAAAGTCCTGTTGTGGCAGCCAAGATGTGGAGGAGAGGCAGAAATGGGGAGTGGCACAAGGACAAGGAGAAGTAAATTAGCCATCAGTTACTATTTTTTTTTTGGTTTTTAATTCATCATCTTAATACTAATTTCTGGTTTAAAAAACAATTGAGAACAGCAAGTCTCCCCACGCAAAAGAGCGTTGTCTGGTGTGTTGGTGCCAGGGAATTGGCTACTTTATTAACCTACCAGTTATTATTAACAGTTATCCTGCTGGGTGGCTGGGGGTGGTGGATATTCTATTTATAGTAATTTGTTTGCATTTGCAAAGGCATAAATGTGTTGGGGGGAAAAAAAGTAATTATATTTTTGTGTTCCAAACCTTCATTAGTTGTCTTTGATTGTACACTCCTAAGAGCTGGATTCTGCCTTGCAGAAGCAGCCTCTGAGCACATCTGCAGTATCAGACCATTCAGGTTGCATCTTGTGTAACTCTCTGTAATTCAGTTAAGTAGGGCTCAGATGGTCATAAACTTAGTCATTTGTGTTCACATGTTAGATTTTCTTAAAATGGAAATATTAAATATTCAAGAAAAGTTAATATAGGCTGAATAGACAAAGAGAAAACACGATCAAAAAGGGTAATCAGCAACTCAGGGCAGAAAAGCGAATTAGTATAATCTTACTGGAAACCACCGCTTCTTTTACAGAGCCAATAACACTATTTAGGCATAATTTTCTAATAGCAATGTTAGTGTCAGAAATGTGATGGTGTTAGGTCCTATTCATTTAAAGAAAGACAGGGCTTGCAGGGTAGTTGTACCTGCTCTTTTCTGAATCGGACAGCTCAGGGCCCAAATCTCCATACCAGAGCATGGAAAGCCATGCAGTCAGCCCAGCAAGGGTCCTCAGTGTAGGCTGGGATGCCCATTCACACATGGATCACAGTGGAGGAATAGGAGTTTGAATGGAAAGGAATTTGTCAGCATCCAGGATACTTGCAAAGGGCTCGGGTACCTCTGTGGCCTCTTAAGAAGCACTGACACAGCACAGTGTCTGTACCAGCACACTTTGACCACTGGGCACGTCTGTGCCAACTATGTATTTGTGAGAATTTCTGACAATTCAGCTCCTGTAGCTTTCCAGACTGTGTCATCAGTCACCAGCTGCACTGAGGTATGGAGCTGTCAGCTCCTCGGGGAGTAGTAATTAAAAGGGACATAACCCACCTGCTTGATGACGTGCATGTGCTTTGTGTCATCCAAAGAATTTTCATTTACCTTTGGTGATGCCAGATTATTGTTTTCCCATTTCTTGCTCTATCCACTAACTTGCTTCTCTTCTGTTCTTCCCATGCTTTTCTGTAACTTTTGTCCAGGCATCCTTGCACTCTAACTTGGATCTGTTTGTAATGGTGTGTTTCGTTCTTGTCTCCCTTCACGTGGGCCCTGGCAGTGGAATAACATGGAGACCCTTTTCACTGCACAGCTGAAAGACCACCGATCTATGAACCCCTGCCCGGTTTACGATGAGGTCTCTGGGAAGCTGATCCTGTTCTTCATAGCTGTCCCAGGAAAGATCTCCGAGCAGCATCAGCTCAGGACAAAGATTAACCTGGTACGCCTCTGCTACGTCACCAGCATGGACCAAGGGCGCACCTGGAGCGCTGCCCAGGATGTCACCGACGGCACCATCAGGACCGAGTACAAGAACTGGGCCACGTTTGCGGTGGGGCCGGGTCATGGATTACAGTTGCTCAACGAGGCCCGGAGCCTGGTGATTCCCGCCTATGCCTATCGTATCTTGGACCCTAAGCAGCACCCCACCCCTCATGCCTTCTGCTTCATCAGCTCTGACCACGGCACAACGTGGGAGCTGGGCAACTTCGTGGGCGAGGAGAGCGCGGTGGAGTGCCAGGTAGCGGAGGTGCACACCTGTGGCAGGAAGGTCCTGTACTGCAACGCGAGGAGCACCAGGGGAGCCCGAATCCAGGCCGTCAGCTACAACCATGGGCTGGACTTCGAGGGAGGCCAGCGGGTTGAAATGCTAGTGGAACCTCCCTTTGGATGCCATGGAAGTGTTACTGCCTTTCCACCTCCCCCTGATGCCAGGTGCCAAGACAGTTGGTTACTCTATGCTCACCCTACAGACCCAAAGGGTCGAAAAGATTTGGGAATTTACCTCAACAAAAGCCCTTTAAATCCAGCACACTGGACAAAACCCAGCATCCTCTTCAGGGGCCTGTGTGCTTATTCGGATCTGCAGTACATGGGTGTTGGACCCGATGGCTCACCCTTGTTCTCCTGCCTCTTTGAATATGGGACCCGCCGGCAGTGCGAAGAGATGATCTTTGTCATGTTCACCTTGAAGCAAGCCTTTCCCTCAGAGCTCTGAGTCTCAAGCCTTTCCACCAGCATCCCTCCAAACACCACCTTTGCTGATACTTTTCACTATCACCTCTCATCTTTGAGCAGGAGGTTTTTTGTACTCCTGCTGCACACTTAGTTTGGCGTTGGCTTGCGGCGTCTGTAGATTATGAAGTCTATTAAATATAATAAAACTTAACGTGTTTGGGTTTGTTTTCTGTTGTCTGTTCTCCCTTTTTGCCTTTCCCTTTGGCTGCCTTTTTACACATCCCGTGCCCAAACCAAGTGTGACCTTTGTACGGGGCTTCTCGCCTTGAGGTCTCCGATAGACTGGATCAATGTAACACTGCTGACAGTGTTCCCAGGGACTGCCTGGGAACAGATGGCAGCAGTTTTATGCTGAGTGGTATTTAGTAAGTTGTGGAGAAAGTTCTAGAGAAGGCACTGGGCTTACTGCCCTGTATCTGGTGTCACCTTCTTCAGGACACTGCTTTGGCTCTGCTTAGGAGTACTGCTTCTCGCAGATAGTGTAGGAATGTGGCACCTCTAACTTTCAGGGCTTGCTGGCTCCTTATTTCAGCAAGGCTGTGTGATGTCTTGCTCTGGGGATATTCCTTGCCCACTTCTGCAGTTCGTTTGGGGTTGCCTTGCTGAGTTCCCAGGTACCCCAGGGACTTCTGTCAAACTGAACCTTCTCCTTACTTCCCATGCCCTGTCCTTGCTTACTCGCCCTTTTGCTTACACTGCACTGACAAGCTGCAGTTTCTCTGTAAGAAAACCAGAGCCTTGTGTGCTCTAGCTGCTCCCTCTCCCTGGGCAGTGGCAGTAGGGGTCATGGAGGACACCAGGACCCTTCCACGTCTGGGGACAGGACAAGTGGCCGAAATGGCATTTTGCCTCTATTGGAACTGCAGGATCAGGACAGGTCTGCAGAGGGAGCTCCCAATTTAGAGTCAGGAGGGGAAATGCTTGCTGGTCTTTCTAACACAAGTATGATCCATGCAGCTACTGCTTCTGTCGCTGGCAACCCCATGTCTTTTTATTACAGAGTATTACTGGCATATGAGGCAGTATGTCAAACAAATAACATTGCCCCCCTTCCAGTAAAAAAGCACCTGTGTCAGAGGGAGGGGACCTGACCAAGCCCAGAGCAGCATGAGAACACTCAAACTGGAAGGCTTTCCAACATAGGCAGATTTTCAGCAGATTTCTGAAGGAAATTATTCTAGTTTTGGTTAGAGAGACACTATTTCTGAGGCTCTGGTGTGGTTTGAAAGGAGGCTTTATACAGAGAGCAGACAAGGGACCCACCAGAAATGAATGGGTACCAAGGGAGACATGTCAGAGCAGGTGGAGCTAGGAAAGTGTTACCTATGCCTCTGGACAAAATTCTGCTTTATGAACCAGTCTGTGCTTGTTTGCTGGGTGCTGTATCCTGTGTGTGTGCACATGTGGAATGGCTGCAAGGAAAAGATGTTTGTTTGCTCTATTGATGCAGAATAACACCTGCTTTCCAGAGCGCTCTCAGAACACATCCTCTTGGAGAAACACTAGCAAATCCCATAGGATCCTTGGCACTGTCACTGCTCAGGTCTGCAGGTCCCTGTTTGCTCAGTGCCCCTACCCTGTACTTTTACTGCTGGCAGCTTTCAGGTGGGAGAAAGGGCCCTGATTTTTCTCACTATCTGAATTTGTTTCAGGGCACCTGGAGGCTGCAGGTACCAAGAGAGTGATGAGATCTCGTGACCTTCACAGATAACCTGTAATTTGCCAAGCCCTTCCCAAGCAGCAGGTCAGTAACTTGCTGGGCTGGCATAGCAGAGTGGCTCAGGTAGCCAGTACTTTGTGGGTATTACTCATGTGCTCTTCAGATGTAGGCCAGAGCCTAAATGCACCTCTGTGGTCAATAGCCTGTCACTGATGCCTAAGGAGGTACTGGTATATTTAGACCTCAGCAAAGCTACCTGCTGTCCTATAGATTTAACCTCCTCATCAGGTACTATGGAATACTTTTGTTTCATGACATGGAAATGCATATTTAAGAAGTTTTTATCTGGTCGTGCCTGGCAGCTCCCATGATGATGCAGAGTGGACAGTCTGGCTACACGTGGGGGGTTGTGTGACCAGTGTACATCTTGAATGATGCCACAGATAGTATTTATTTACTGGTTCTGGACAGGCTGGTGAGTTGACAGCCAGCTGGTACAATACTACTAGATCTGTAGCAAAACCAGTTTATTGCAGTGTCTGAGAGATGGGGTATTATTTCAAGCTAACGAGCCATTAGGGACCACAGAGCTGTTTATGTTAGGGGATTGGGATTCACCTTTTGAGCAGCTGGAGCTGTATTGTGCTTTCTTTTACAACTAAGAAATACTCACAGAAACCAGCCTGCACATCCAATTGCCACAATCATCACATGTATTTGGATCCCTTCGCCTTGTTTATGTCTCAAAGTAAAGGAGTTGTGTGTGGCTGGACAAGGGATTTGAAGGAAATAGCAGCTAAAAACTGAAGTTGGTGGAGGGGTGGATAGGAATTAAGTATAGACCTAAGTAGTCTGTCTAACAGCTAATTAGATGTCTAACCAGGAGTTGTACCTGCTACCTTGTTTAGCTTGCAGAAGATCAGGAGAAGCTTTCCAAACACAGTTTCATTCCAGCAAAACTCCTGGGGTGATCAGCAGCTCTGTCCACTCTGCATCCAGATATGTGTCCATTGCATGGAGAGCACTGTGAGGCCAAGCAGTGGTTTAACATTCAGAGCTGTTCTGCCTCCTGCTGCAGCTGTGCTCCAGAGAAGCTACTGGAGGTGCCAGAAATCCCAGGCAGTTGGTGCAGGTGAGGCTAGCAGTGGTCTGTGGGCAGGCAGGGAGGAGGAGCTGCACGGTTCCTTTGCCATGTGCAGACACTCCTCCCGGTGGGGAGAGCAGGGTTTGTAACCCCTCTGTAGCTTACAGCCACTGCCCATGCACAGCCACTTCATGGCAATCAGCATCTGACTGCATTTAGGCTCCTGAATCCATGTCAGTTTGTCTCCTGGAGCCCTGTGTGGATCTGGGCTAAGCTGAAGGTCGGGTCCAGCTGAGCTAATTTTGGTCTGCAGACAGTGCTTGCTCAGCGTGGTCAGGAAGCCCTGCACGGTGCAGTTCTGCTCGTTTAGCAGGGCGCTGTTCTGGCCACACAGCTCTGAGCTGCTGGTGCCCACAGCCTCATCTCAGAGGCAGAGGTTAAGCTGGACACTGCAGGGCAGGTGTCTGGAGAACTGAAAGCACCAGGAAGGCCTGCAGGAATGAATGCTGGGTTGTGCCAGTTCATTCTCTCTCCATACCCACAAATTCTAGCCTCTCCCCATGCAGTGACAGTCTGTTCTCTCCTGCCTTGCTGTCCATGCTATGTCCATGATCCAGGTACTGCGGTTCTAGTACTTCTCCTGGCTCTGTAAAGCAAGGTTTGCATAGGGTTAGCAGGATCTATGTCTTACCTGGGAACTTGCAAGTCAGAGTCTGAGCTCAGCTGCTGCTTTTAGGTATAGCTCAAATGTGGATGTGCAGAAATGCTGCCTTCCAAGGCAGAGTGGTTGGAGGTACAGAAAAAGCAACCAATTTTCCCTCACAGGCACTGTAGCAATGTCCTGGCTTGCTGCAAACGTGTCCCCTGTGCTGTGCCTTGGAGATGCAGCACTGAGCAGCCACCCAGCACAGCTGAGGGACAGATGTACACACCAAGAAAAGGGAAGTGAAAACTCCAGTTCTTCCCTCTCTGACGCAGGTTGCCAGACACAGCTTTGCTCCATCCCACCTTTGGGGATTTAGAGTAGGAAAGATCTTTGAATTCATCTCACAGTAGCTGACAGGGAGCTTTGGTCACAAATCCCCCGTGCAGATCAGCCTCTCAGTCTGCTGTGCATGGAAACGTGCAGTCGTAATTTTATTCTGTTCAGTTCTTTGAAGTCCCCTCCTCACACCTAACTGCCTATGAGGACTAGTCAAGGCAGGAACGGGGCAGTCGGTGCTAGGTATCCTAATGCACAGTGTGTTTCTGATCAGAGATTTATTTATTGCCCTTGGAGCCCTGTAGCAGGTAGGACAGACAGATGGAAAAAGATGAAAACTCACAGGGTCTGACAAGAGATCGTAAATGGAACAGCAGGCCACCAAAGCCTGGGGGACTGAATCTGTGAGGGAGCAGAAGAGATGCCCAGCTGGGACTTTCTGACATGAAGGGGGCGGGAAAGGCAGGGAGCATGGGCTTGCAAGTCACTTCAGCTGCAGCATGAAGAGGAGAGCGGGGGCTGCAGGAACATGTCACGCTCACTCTCTGAGCTGTTTGAGTTGAGGAAGTTGTCCGTGGCTGAGTTTCCTTTCCCTCTCTGTACTATTGAAACAGGAAGCTGGTGAGCTGAAGCTGGCTGATCGTTACACACAGACACACAGGCAGCTCTGGCAGCTCCTGGACTGGAATTCAGGTTTCCTCCAGCTCCAGCGATGGATCAGTGCTGGTACCACGGCAACATCACTCGCTCCAGGGCTGAAGACCTGCTCTCCAAAGTAGGCAAGGATGGCAGCTTCCTTGTGCGGGCCAGCGAGTCCATCGCCTCGGCGTACGCGCTCTGTGTGCTGTAAGTACGGCGTCCGCCCGCGCCCCCGCACCCGCTGACCCTGCTCGGGCAGGGGCACCCCTGCGCCCCCCAGATGGGCAAACAGCCGCTGGACCCACGGGGAACATGCAGCCCACACCAGAGCACCTGTCTGAGCCATGGGGCAAGGAAGGGTTGGGATCAGAGCCAGGCTGGACGAACCCATATCACTTACTGCTGTACCGCTCACGCTGCCCTTGCGCCCGATTCAAAAGGAGAGAATAATCAAAGGCACTGCAGCTGTGCTCTGAGAGAAAATAGCATCTTGAACTTTTGGCCCCTCTTAGCAACTTGGGTCAGGTATTTACCTTGAACAACTCCAGTACTGAGCTTGGTACCCTCCCAGGCACTTTTCTTGCCTTCAGTGTGTGTTTGACCCACCTGCTTGTACCATGTCCCATTCAACAAAAGCTGAAATAGTTCCTGAAGCTGTGCATGGTACACCTGGCACAGCAGTGATTCTGCCTGCATCATTAATGTGGCTCATGGGGTAAATGTTTCATGTGGGAAACAGGGAGAGAAATGCTGGTAGCCCTGACCCCCCCATTCTGGGAGACCAGAGAGCAAGGCCTCCTGCCTTGGGTTTATGAGGGCCAGGTGTTATTCTTGGAGGCAGGAGAGCAGGAGCCAGAGGAGACTAAAGTCAGTAGGTAAAATCTGAGGTGTTTGACTTTGCATTACAGAGAGATAAGACAGTTGCTCCCTGCTTAGGAGAGATCAAGAGAACCCCCTTGGGACCCTGTTCTGCCCGTCAGATCCTCTTTGCTGCCACCGCGCAGCAGATCAATAAAACTCATTGCATCCTTACCCCACATTAAATTACACAGGTTTCTCCTTTTCCTTCTGAAAGTATATTTCTTGTAGTGGTGAACGCGGTGCTGCTGTTTATAACTCTGTTCTAACTGCTTGCCTCTGAGGTCAAACTTCTGCTGACAGCACCGTCTGCAGCAGAGGATTCATGTGCAGAGGAGCCTGGGGCTGGATAACTGCCCTGTGAGCATAGGTGTTGGACTGCCACAGTGATGGCTGGGTCATGGGGGTGTTTACAAGGTGCAGAAAGCCTTTGTACCTGCCTGTTCAGGTGCTTGTGACAACACAGGGAAGAGTTTTGTCTTTCTGGAGGGAGCAGAGAAAGAAGGCCGGCTGCAGACGAAAAGGCAGGCCAAGCAGGAGGCAGGAGAGACAATCATCATCGCTGGCCAAGGGCCCAAGCTGCTGCCAGTCAGGGAACACTTTACTAGAACAGACTGTTGCTTCCATTGAGCAATTTTAGTATGGCCCCATTGATATGACTTGTAACTAGTTGTACACAAAATGTTTTTACCGAGCAGTGGTGGGGATTATAGTAAGGGAAGGTGCTGCAAAAATGCTTAACATGCATTTGCATAAATTTTTCCATTGTAGATGTTTATGCAGCCGATTTTGAAAGCCTTTTGTGACTTGAGAGACATGGGATCAGGAAATAGAAACAATATAATGACCAGGATTTTCTGAACCGTGAGCCAGAGGTTATTTTCTGAAATCCATTCTGAGGTGGTGATTAAAGAACTGGGGAGCACACAGCCTCGCCAGGCAAGAGCAGCTGGATCTGAGGTGTGAAGTGATGGCAGAAATTTCACACAAACTGCTGTCAAATAACCTAACAAGCCTTCAGCTTATGCTGGTTTGTAGTTAGTTTGTGGAGAGAAAGAGTTAAACGTGGCAAATAAGTCTTTTGTCTGAATGTCTTCTCCATAAAATGGGCAGCTTTGCTGAAGCTGAAAACTTCCTCGGGAATATATCAATTTCAGCTGTGTTAATGACTGGGAGGTGTTTGAGGTTTGGGCTATTCAGTTACTTCTGTTTAAAAAACAGAGAGGCTGGGGACAAAGAATGAGGGGACTCGAAAGCTGACAGCAAAATTGTTTCCACAAAAATAGAATTATTTTGAAAGGGAGAAAGTGTCAACTGTGTATAGATAAGGAAAACAAAACCCATGAAATTTCCTCTGAAAAAGAAATGTCATATTCTACAAAGCTCTTATATTTATTGGGCAGATCAACTGAAAACCAGCAAAACACTTATTATTAGAATGTCACAGAATGAAATAGTGATTTTATTGAAGAGCTACTTGAGGAAAACAGGATTTGTATAAATATAGACGAGTAAGGGATATGTATTTGCAGGGCCTTTAAGAGTGCCTCCCCTCTTTTTCTGAAACTTAGAACAGCAGCTTCTAACTCGGGGAGTGAAAGGCTGGGGAACGCTCCTCCCCTGCACTGCTGGCCCATGGTCACACTGCCCCATAAAAGGCAAGAAGCAAAGCCCTTTTCCTCCTCCTTTCTCTGTGCCTGCACCATGTGATCTGCCAGTTTATTGACAAGAAATGGGCTCTTTAACTCACCTGAAGGGGAATGCCTGGATCCTGAAATCCGAAAGAGCCTGCTTAGTGTTCCCTGCAGCTGAACTGGTACCATTCCTCCAGGGGATCTTCTGTTGGTGGTTCATCCATGGATGACTGCAGGATTAACAACTCTTTAGAGATGACCCTCAAGGGCTACCTGCAGCTTTGGGACCCCTCTCAGCGCCTGTGAGATGCCATGTCCAGCTCCCCTGCCTCTCTCACGGTGCACTTAGCACCATGTCTGGCATGGCGGCCCTGTGTAGGATCTCCAGGCACTCCCAATATGCAGGTCATCACCTGCACATAAAAACACACAGCAGGAGAGGAAAGAGCAAATACCAGCCTTGTCCCCTTTCCTCCTCTGCTTGGTTGAGAGGATAGAGAGATGAAAAAGTACTTGGAGACCTGTTTAAACTGGGGCTGATGTTTTATTTACCTTCCACATGGACAGCCTGAACAATGGTTAAGCAATTCTGAACTCAACCCAGTTTTTAGGGAGGACCTGGAATGTGGCGGTAATTGGGACCACGCAACTTGACAGTCAGGATGCCAAGGAGAGAAAGCCTAAGGGTAAAAATGAAGTAAGAGTCCCAGTCTTCTTCATCCACATGCAGTAAATTAGAAGACTGCTAAAAAGGATTCCTGCTTTTGATCCCAGGAAGTGCTCCTCTCTACACCTGTCTCACCCAGCTGCCCTTCCTTCCTTGTTCTTCCTCTGATCTCACCTGTCCTCAGCCCAAAGCACTTTACAAAGTGAGCTCTGTGTGATGAGGCACTTTCTGTGGAGGCAACACGAGGGTCCTGCTGTGACACAAGAGCCATTGAGCTGGTTCGTTTATCAGTTTCATAATCTCCACACACACAAATTGTCTCTCATGAGCTGCATGAGCAGTTCTGCTTAGCCCTGTTTGCATATCAGCAGGAGGAAATGGTGTAAGAGAGCTGCACTGACAGATAAAAACAAACCCCGTACCCTTTCTTGGGGCATATCCTCATCTGGCGTTGATTGCCCTGGGATTGGTGACATTAGCAGTGCTGTGGCTGCCCACAGCAGTTGGGGATCATGTCTGTGACTGCCAGCCCTGTCCCAGATGTGTGAATGAACAGGTGCCTGTGAAATGAGCTCTGGGAGCAGTTTGAATTCTTCTGCGTCCTTTGCATTAATGCCATCAAAAGATGCACGTTCATGTGCGTGCACGACCAAATTCTCCAGACACCCTGGAAAAGCTCAGCTATGATCTATGAGTAATTTATTTGCATTTCCAATGTCTTTGTGACTCCTTGTACAAAGCTGCCTAAAATCCTGGCAACCTCTTCTCTCTCCTGCATGGAATGATTCTGAAAGGCATATGATGAACAGACTCACGATACAACTGTAAAAGAGATTAGGATGTTTTATCAATCTGCCTGATCTCCCCAGTGGGGAGGCTGACCTCAGGCCACATTTTGTGACAATTCCACAGGTAATGCAGAGTTTCTGTTACAGCTGAGGAAGCTCTAAAAGCAGATTCTGTTCTTTCTTTTGAGAGGAAGGCGTTGAAACCAGCACTGTTTGCTGGCTCAGAGAGATATTGTATGCTTTAACAGAGTGCTTTGCAGGTGACTTAAAAGATTGTTGTTCACTTGGGAGAAAAGTAAAAATATATCTTTTTAGTCAATACTTCTTGGATGAGATCTCCAAAGCTCAACAGCTGCTGAGGAAGGTCAAATTTGCCACCTTACAACACTGCTCAGGCTTCACTTGGACTCTTGTGCATTGATGTGACCCTTCACTGGGAAAAAGGCTCTTCCATCCCTCCTTAAATAAGAATCTAATAGAATTTAGCTGGGACAAAATGTTTTTTATGGCTGATCTACAGATGCACATGTACAGTGTGCACCCACACCAGGATGGCGAGATGGGTTTTCACTCAGGCTGTTTAAGACTTGTGGAAGAAAATGTGCCTAGCAATCAGCTCTTGTACTGAGATTTAGCTGAAATCTATTGATTGTTTTTTCCAATACAAGTCAATGCACATACTAGCCCTTCAGTTTACTTGTTCACTGCTGATTTTGGCCCCGTGTCTTTTGGCTTTCTGCTTTTCCATTCCTTCCTGAGCTGCCCTCTCTACTGACAGCTAAAGCCATTTGGTATTTTCTCTTTCCGGCCAGAACGAGAGTTGAATAACTCACTCTGAGCTGATGCTGATACCACTTTCTGCAGGGACATCTGCAGATGTGTCAGTGACCAAGAACACTTCAAGTTTGTGTTAGTTCACAGACTCCAGGGAAAGGAAGAGAAATGTTTAAATCTCTTGTGCATGAAGCCATCTGTATGTCTCAGAATGTCCCAAAGCCTGTTCTCACGGGGGTGGGGGGGTACCATGCTGAGATTCCCTTCTGGACACGGTGTAACCACATCACCTATGATCTGTTCCAGGTTCCGGAATTGTGTCTATACCTACCGAATTCTGCCTGGTAAAGAAAACAAGCTCGTTGTCCAGGTAAGCCCTGCTGTGTACTATGTTGGCCCACAAAGATGGCCCTGACAGCTGCTGGGTTTTAAAGCAATTTTAACACCAAGAGAAAAAGGATACAAGGAGTTAAACTAATGCCCTGGCCAGCACAGTGCTGGTCTCCAGCCCACTGCTGGGCAGATTTTAGTCTTCTGTCTGGTCCTGCCATGGCCATCAGCACGTGTTACTTAACACATGTCCCTGACAGGTTTTATACAACTGAGAAGCGCAGCCCATGGAATACCTTTTCCTCTGAAGCCAACTTCCTATCAGTACACTGTGGGTCTTTTCAATCCAAAATTGCAGCACAGTTTACCTACACCCAGAGAACGTAAATTGAGTTCTGGTCTCAGGATCCAGAAAGTACTAGATTGAGGGCAGGACTTTCAGACCTTCTGTTTATTCCTATTCTGCTTTAGTATCCTAAATGAGCCACTTCCCCTTCCTGTGCCACCTCTCAGCTCTGGTTTTCTTAATATAGAACATGAAACTTGGGGTTGGGAGAGAGGCATGGTCTCTTCCAGCCCCAAGAATTGGGCATGGGTTTATTAGGCAGCAGTGGGGCTGCAGCTGACTCCATCCTCTTGGCACAGCCAGTGCTGCATGGGCATTCCCTGCAAAATTAAAAGGAAATGCCCAGGCTACCAGTCTGCCCTGCTATTCAGAGTCAGTCTACAATCATTCCTTCCCATTTCAGATGACAACCAGCTTCCCACACTAGAAATCAGATTTCTACTGACTCCACGTGTGGCTCACATGCCTCACATGCACCATGTCACTCGTGTATTTCCTGATGTGCTTTGGGGTCACCAGTTTCTCTCTGAGATCTGCAGTAAGAGGCAGCATATCTGAAACTGGAGGCATCAGGTTAGTGAGAACAGCAGAGTGCTGGCAGCTTTCTTTCAGCTGTAGGTTGTTGATGGGAATTGTGGATTGTGTGTCCTGGGTGCACACATCCAGCTTGGCTTCTGGAAGAGCCACTTTTTGGGAGCTCGAGCTGTTCTTAGGAGCCCCACTCAGATGCAACTCTGCACAAACACAGCTATATTGCCACCCAGGCCAATTCCAGGCTCTCAGCCCTGTGCCCAGAGCCAGCCACCATATCCCACTTGGCCTCGACAGCTGGATTCCCCAGAGTCATTGAGATTCCTCTGCCTCACTTGCACTTCTGTTTTTAAGGAGGAACTGGCAGTGGGACACTGTGCCAGACTTGACCTGGGGCTGTATGTGTTACTATGGCAGGTCACCAAAACTCATCCACCTTCCCAGAGCACTGGGCAACACCATGCAGAGGAGCCTGTGCAGGCTGGGAGCAGGGCTGGCACGCAGCTGGAACCAAGAAGCTGCCATTCTGATCTGGCTTCACAGGGTGCAGCAGCCTGTTTGTAGGGATACTCAGTTTTCCCCCATCATCTGATCTAGCCCAGCCTTACCATCATAAATAATGTGTCTTGGTGTGTTGTGGTGGTGTGGTGCTGTGATGGTGGCATGTGTTCAGAAGATGATCCATTGTTTATCATTGCTCCAGTACCCAGAGCAGCTGCAGGGGTCAGGGTCTCATTGTGCCAGAGAGCTCACAAATGAAGCTCCCCTGGGCAGGGAGAGTGCTGGGGGAGACCTGAGGGTCAGCAATGGGCACAACTACTTATGTCCACACCAGCTCTGTGGCAGGGCTGGGGTGGGAGCCTGGCACTGCTAATGATGTTCTTGCTCTTTGCCCTGGCACCGGGGTGAGGAAGGGACATTGTGGAACCCTAACTCTGAATGGCTTTGGAGTATGAGTCTGACAGCTGCTTTGTCTTTTGGAAAACAAGCACAGAAATGATCCTATGTTGTCTATCCCCCTGTGGGAGAGGAAGAAAGGTAGGCCAGAGAGTACCTGCAAAGGCAGCCAGATAGCCCCACACTTTGTCCCTTTGTGTCCTGGGCAAGCCCTGTCCCCTCCTGGTCCCTCAGTGCCCCCCTGGCATGTCGTGTGAGCAGTGCTGTCTGCAGCCTGGCCTGCAGCCTCTGCTGGCAGGACACTGGTGCCAGAGCAATGGGGGTTTGGAAGCTGAGTGGAGAGCCCTGTGGCCGTGTGTGCAGCCCTGCAGGGAGTGCTGAGGCACAGGCTGGCCCCAGCCCTGCCCCCAGGGAGCTCTGTACAGCCTGCAAGGGTGCCAGCTACGCTCCCCAGCTCGTGCTGGGTCTGAGAGTGTTTCTGCTGTGACAAAAGGGCCTGTTTTCATGTATGGCTGTTCCACTTGTCTGCAAGTCAGAGCCCTGCAGCCACAGGAAATCCATATTTCTCTCTGCTGTAGCAATGGGCAGTTCTCATGCTGGATCAAGGTTTATGAACATGTAATTTTTAAGATTCTCTTGGGATCTGTGCTGTGATTGTGAGGGATTTCTCTTGTTCCTATGTCATGGGATGCAGAGGGACTGTGGTGGAATACCTTTGTAAGCTGGGTTGCCAGGAACTGTAGGTTGAATATCAGGAGTAGGCTAAATAAAGTGTGTTGTTAACTCATGTTTTGAAGACAAAACACCTCCTGCTTTGTGCTGCCTTATTCCAGTTCTGTGGGAGAGGCAGAAGAAGGGGGGTGGCTTCTTCTGGCAAGAGAGGGACCCAGTGAAAGTGGTAATTGAGGCTCAGAGGAAAAACAGTCTCATGTGGTTGGCTGCTGTTCTTGGTACAGTGTCCCAGCTGGGCCAGGCTTTTTTTGGTTGCTTGTCTGTTGATTTTTGGATAAAACAAAAACTACTTCATGTGTATTACAAGATCAGACTTTTGAAAAGATTACTTCTGTGCAAGGATATAAAAGCTGTGGAATAGAATGGAGTGTTGGCATTTTAAAAAATCCCATTAAAAAAGGAAGGAGTCTACTAATCCAATGGAATTAGAACAGGTGTTAAATTAATACAGCAATCGGTAAGTGCTTTTCATTTCTGAGCTTATAAAAATTATATAGGAAAAATTCAATACTCAATCCTGAGATTAGCCTGCATTAGTTATGAGCCCTGATTGTGCAATGTGACCTTTTTTTTTTTGCCTGCACAGTGCTCCTTCCTGAAAAAAGCTGCCTTCCTGCCCAGGGCTGGAATGTTGTCTGTCAGGAGCTTGTCATGATGACAGCAGCTTCAGAAGAGGTCCCATGTCACAGCTACATACACGGCACATGTGACAGGACAGGCTCTCCCTCTACCACTTGTGGAGTTTTTTCACCTTTAAAGCTGCAAGGTGCTTCGCTTTTTCATTGAGGCTTGGAGAGGCCATTTCATTTTTCTCTTTTCTAGTGCGATCCCGGACCCGCCCCAGTGGAATGATACTCAGTGTTATTTTTTTGCATGGTTACATTATCTGGTAGCAGAAAGGGAGGTGTGCATTTTTGCATTCTGAGATGCACTTTTTCACATTCAGGCTGAAGAAAATAATATTTGCATATGTCCTTCCAGCATTTTGTGACATGGTCTGATGTGCCATTGGGATTCTGCACCTGCAGCAGCTCTACAGCAGCTAGCATGGTCAGGAATCCCTCTGGCCTGCCATATCTGGAATGCAGCTGGTGTCCTCCCAAAGCACACTGGGCTGTAGAGGTCACCATCACAGACTGTTTTCTTCACATACAAAGGAAATTTGTCCCCCTTCTTTTCTGGAACTGAGTAATTTTCTCCTTCCATTACTTGAGACTTCAAAATATGGGCAAAGAAAGCCATGGCTTGGATGAATCAAACTTGCCTCCTGCTGATGAAAACATATTTAAGGAAGGAGGGTAGGAGTAATGAAAACCCCTTGAAACACAGGATCTGTAAGAGCCAGTAGAGATCTTTAGGCTGAGAACAATTAGTCACAGGTCTCCCTGCTGCCTGCAGACTCTCACTGTAGTGAAGCACTGAGAGCTGAGAATAGGAAGAGAGCAAATAACAGTTCCACAGAGATCGAGGAGCAGGGCACGAGGCTGGAAAGAACTGCCCCTGAGGTGGCTGAGCTGCTGCCTGGGGGTAAGTCACAGCTGGACCACTTCACTTTCTTCTCTGGGAAAACAAATATGATTTTCCCTTGCTCCAAAGGGGAGGCATAATTAATGTGTAGTTATGGAATGTTTGGGGATTAGCTGAGTGTAATCATGTTTGTGCAAAGAGGGGCAAAGCAGCAAAGGAGTCCTTGGGCATTGCAAGATCAAGCTAAACATGAGAGACAAACTAAAGACACTAACATTGTCATTGTTATCTAAGCACCTATAGTCAGTTCTTGCCATCCAGATTGACAGAAGATATTACTTTCCTGTGCTGTCACTTAAAGCACTTCATTTATCCAACTGGCTGAGGTTTCAATATGACCCTCTTCACTGCCCAATCTGCATTCCTTATGATCTTAGCATCCCCCCAACAAATGGGGAACTTGGCCCAGTCTGAGGATTGGGTTACCAAAAATAATTTTAAATAGCTATCCCTGGTTGACCTTAGATGTGCAGTCAAAGCTGTCACGTAGCCAAAGGTGAGTTGTATCTCTCTAGTCAGCAGGAAAGAAATGGGTTTCTGATCTGGGTGGGCTGAACTGTCCTTAGTGGGTCCTGTCTCTGTTGTCTAAAGAGCCCAGAGAACCCCCTTAAACTGCCAAACTTGGCAGGCTGCAGTCAGATAAGGAGATTCCCAGTACAACTGTCTCTTGCTCAGTGTGAGAAGGCACTGAGGTCAAGAGCTGCTGTTGAAAAACTGTGATACTGCCTTTGCCTAATGCTTTACCCTGGATTGCCTCGATATACTGCTATTTTAAAAGGTCACTGTCAAGAGTATAACCTGCCTTGGGAGTGAGAGTGCTTGAAAGAGGTGGTGAGAAGGAGGAAGACACTGGTGTTGGCTGGTCAGTGACTATGGATTGGTACAGGGGGGTGTAGTACCATTGTTAAAACCTGGTGGAGTTTGATCTCTCTTGATTTCTGGTACATCTCCAACAGGAGTTCCCAGCTCATGTTATCTGCTGGCTGCAGTCAGTCAGTCAGTTCTCA